ATTTGTTTATATTAAAGGCGAAAATTAGAGTTAATAGCATAAAAAATTACCCCTTTATTAAATATTGTAAGGTTAAGAAGCATAATTAGGAAAAGGCAGAAATTAATTTTTGAACTCTTATTTGGTAGAAAGGTACAAGCAAAGAAAGCGATATAGTAAAAATCCGAGTTGGAACAAAATATCTTTTAAGGCTTTAGGAGTTTGGAAAAGTAAATAATTATGAACAAAAAATAGGATAGATTTTTAGCTTTGTTCGCACAACGAAATATTCAACCGGTTGTCAATTTTTTTCTGCCGATCGCTGGTTTGATACTGATCTCAAACCTGGTTGGTTGATTATACTTAAAAAATACGTAAATAAAATAATAATCAATATATTTCTTGTGATGTCATAAATTTATTCTTGGCTGAAATTTTGTTAAGGCTATGAAATTTAATACACATCAAGGCAACTGAGGGCTTGTAATATACAGGGTGGGCTGAACCGTATTCCGAAAATTTCCGAATAGTAAAAAAATTCGTATAAATGTATGTCCTAAAATGCTTAGTTTTGGAGATACAGGGTGTAGAAGTTTCATTTTTATTTCGATTTTTTCAAAATAGTTTCTGAAGTAACGTCAATATTTGAATGAAAATTGGTGTCTGGAAGTCTGATGTCAATATGTCCCCTATTATATTTTTTTTGAGGTATCTACCACCCTTTTTTTCAGAGCATAACATGAAAAAAAAATAGTCGATTTTTTTGACCTACCCTACTGTATATACAGGGTGGAAACTTGTTTGTATAAATGTATGTCCTAAAATGCTTAGTTTCGAAGATAGAGGGTGTAAAAGTTTCATTTTTATTTCGATTTTTTTCGAATAATTTATGAAGTAACGTCAATATTTCAATAAAAGTTGGCGTACGGGAGTTTTTTGACATGAGAAATTTGATTTTGATGTAAATATGACTCCTACTTGTACCAAAAGTTCAACAGAAACTGTTTTATCATCTTATTTTTTACAATTTGGACCACCCTGTATACATATTAGGGAAAAATATATTCTGAAAATTCTTTACTTTTTGACTACATCTCTTGAACTAT